TATCTGGTCCCTATATATGGCTTCAGTCAAATATTTTATTTATTTTTTTTATTATTATTTTAAGATGGCACTTTTGATCTTGAATATGCCCTATATACAGGTGCATCTCAATAAATTAGAATGTCGTGGAAAAGTTCATTTATTTCAGTAATTCAACTCAAATTGTGAAACTCGTGTATTAAATAAATTCAATGCACACAGACTGAAGTAGTAACATTCTAATTTATTGAGATGCACCTGTATATACATTTCATTTTGTTTCATTTCGTTTAGTTTGCCTAATAATTATATGTACAGCATTTTGGGCATTAATTTGCCTATGATGCCCAATATTGCTATCTAGACTATATAAGACCATTAATATTTTTTTTAATTAATTTTCAATATACATTTTCTGTATTAATTTTTAATAATATAATAAATGCTAATTTTAACATTATTCTATTAACATAATTGTTTACTATTTTCATGGCATTTTAACACATTTCCCCCAAAGTTTATAATTGCTTTAATGCAAAAACGTTGTTCTCATTACTTTAGTTTAGTGTAGTTTAGTTTAATATTATCTAGCTAGGATATACTGTATAAGACCATTCATAATTTGTATTAATTTTCTGTATTATTTTATTAATATACCTCATTAATTTTAGCATTAATGTTTTAACATTCTTTTTTATTATTATTTTGATGCAAATTCAGCACATTTTCCCCAAAGTTTATCACTGCTTTGTTGCAAAAACATCTTTCTCATTATTTCATTAGTATTTTTTTTTAAGTTCAGTAAGTAACACTTTCAAATGATGCATATGTACAATTTGTCACAATTGATTGATTAATTAATTAACTAATTTATTTATTTATTGCACTATAGTAGTGAAAAGGATTTTTTGCACTCTGCTTAATTTTCTAAATTTTTTTCCTACATATTTTATTTATTTTTGTTAGTTTGCCTACCTATACAGCATTTTTGAGCATGAATATGCCTGTGATACCCAATAATGTTGCCCAGCAGGGTTGCTCAGCACTGGGATTTGAACCGCAGCCAATAAGAAGCTGAGAGAGAATGGACTCATTCAGTCCTGTGGTCAGATCTGGCTTTGATAATGCGGCCCGATACTGCAGCCAGGGTTTCTTCTACTACCTACACAAAACCTGGACTTCTGAGAGACCATATTTAGAGCTAAGATCTGTTCTGGTCTGTAAGAAATTACCCTCTAATCAGCTTCTAGGCACTTCTATTTCCTAATAGATGCTTAAAATGAAGCTTCCAGCAAGGGCTTTAGGAGAATGTATGTCATAGGAGAACATTTTTAAGCATATGATCTTTAGAAAACCATCTGTTTTAGTGCTTTAAGATCTGGAGAACTTACAAAGTCTCTAAAAGACTGTATAGCTCAACTCAAGAACCTTATACAGCCACAAATAGCTCTTGGTAAGTTATTTGCTGAAGCTAAGGTTTTATTTTGAAGTGTAAAGCAAGTGTAGCACAGTGTGTGTGTGTGTGTGTATGTGTGTGTGTATGCGTGCGTGTGCGTGCGTGTGTGTGCGTGTGTACCCGTTTTTCTATTCTGGTGAGGACTCATGTCACGGTGGGGACCTAAATTGAGGTCCCCACAGGTAAACAAGCTAATAAATCACACAGAATGAAGTTTTTTGAAAATCTAAAAATGAGAGGTAGGTTTAGGGGTAGGGTTGGTGTAGGGCAATAGAATATATGGTCTGTACAGTAGAAAAACCATTACGCCTATGGAGAGTCCCCACAAGGATAGCAAACCAGACATGTGTGCATGTGTATGTGTGTGTGCGTGTGTGTGTGTGCGTGCGCGCATTTGTGTGTTGTCTTTTGTATGCGTGCTCCATTATTCGCTCATACTCTGTTTGCTGTTATGGTCGAGCTGAGTAAACTCCAGTCTGAATAGAGCTGCTAAACTCAGGAAAAGCAGCTGTCCAAACACACACACACACACACACGCACGCACGCACGCACGCACACACACACACGCACACACTGTGTACCTGCTGTATTCGATCACTCCCTTTCACTCTCTCTCTCTCTTCTCATCTGATTACATCTCTGTCTTCTTCCTATCCTTCGCTGCTATTGCTACTTAAAGGGACATTTGTAGCATTTTATATTTTCTGTGTTTACTTGTGAAACAGTTCATAATTTAGTTTTATGTGAGCATTACATCTGAACAGGTGGATATATTTATATATACAGTATATATTATATATTCACATAAAAATTATTAATGGTCTTATGTAGCCTAGCTATATAGCATTATAGGATATCATAGGCATATTCATGGCCAAAAAAGCTGTCTAGGTAGGCAAAGTAACAAAAATAATGAAAATAAAATAAAATATTCACAGTTCATCAGTGTACGCTAAGTACACTGATGTGTACAACAACCCCCTCTGTGTTAATTGCTATTTATTTGTAATTGTTTGTGAAATGTACTAGTAATTTCTGCGTGAAAATTGTTTCTACACCTTTTTTCCCCAGTTTTTTGACTCTTTTTTTAAACACAATGAATCACTTTTAGAAGTGCACTTTGTAATAATGTAACAATACATATTGAAATTTAAAATACATTTTAAATCATTGTTTTAATAATAATTTGTCATGCTTTAAAGAAGTACACTTATTTTGATGTGTTGACTAACATACTAAAGCAAAGTTCTTTATTATAATTGTAACTGATATTCGATAATACATTTAAAATTAACATATTTAGAATATACTAAATTGCAAATGTGAAATTAAAAACACAACTTTAATAGAAATTACGTTAAAATATATTTTAATATATTTCAAAATATATATAAAAAAACATATTTCAATGACAATAGAAATAATTATGGAATTATATAAAAAGATGTACTTAAGTCCCACTTAAGTGGGCCAAAAAAGCAACTAATTTCATTTAATATAAATTTAAACTATAATGTATTTTAATTTCTTTGTTATATAAATAACATGCAATTAAGTGTCTGAAATCATTACATTCAGTTCACACTTAAGTATATTCTTAAGTATGTTATTTCCGTAATAATTGCTCTTGTTAAAACTAAAATTATAAATTATAATAAAATAATATTATATTAAAAATAATCAAATAATATTATAGTAGTATGATATTATGTAATAATAATAATAATAAACATATTAAAAGTGTACTTGTTCACAAGGGATCACTAGTACTATTGCTCATAAACAAAAAAAAAAAATTGGTGTAGGATTTACTTTGAAACAGTTTACACTAGTAAATTTCACAAAAAAAAAAAAATGGCAAAGAAACAGAAAGTAACACATTGAATTAAACATGAAATTTTGAAGCAGAAAACTGAAATTGTATTTTCTTGTAAAACGTGCTCCAAAAACCTTGTTTTAATTACAACAAAAAAAAATGTGAGTGGCGTTCTGACAAAGATAACTGTTTTCTATTTGAATATATTTTAAATTGTAATTTATATGTTATGCAAAGCTGAATTTTCAGCAGCTTCAGTGTCACACGATCCTTCAGAAATCATTCTAGTATGCTCATTTTGGATTTCTTTTTTTTTTTTTTTTATGTTGAAAGCATTTGTGCTGCTTCATATTTTTGTGGAAACCTTAATTGATTAAGGTTGATTAAATTAACTTAATTGATTCAAATCCATTTTTTTCAGGATTCTTTGATGAATAGAAAGATCAAAAGAACAGCATTTATTTGAAATAGAATCTTTTGTAACATTATAAATGTCTTGACTGTCACTTTTGATCAATTTAATGCATCCTTGCTAAATAAAAGTAGCAATTTCTTTCATTATTTTGAACTGTAGTGTATATACAATACAATAATAGTACAGCTAAAAGAAAAGAGTGGAAATGTGTGAGTTCGTATTGAGATCTTTGACTTTTCATTGCAAACTTTGTGATTTTGGCAAATTCCTGCATCGTTTGAGATCTGAAATCTAAAGTCTACCGAGGGTTTTTTTTCTCAGGAGAAACATCTGAGAAGCAGGACATGTCAGCAGAAGTCTCCTTCAATGCTGTCTGGGAGAAACAATAGAGATATTAATGAGAACTCATCTGTGATTTTTTTCCTTCCTGTGGGTCTGTCGCTGAATATTGACTCTTTTATGCGTCTCACCTCATGATACCATCATATCTGGAGGCTTATTAAAAATCTCTTTCAAAGTCATAATCATGAGCGCGGCACCGCTGGGGCGTCCGGTGTCAGTCACGCATTGATCTGTGTGCCTGTGATATTTATGGATGAACTTTATTGGTGTGGGAGAAGACCGAGCTCTGAGGGAAAATCTGCTTAATGCTTCAAAATTATTGAGCTTTGCAGCGAGTCTCACGCCAGGGGGTTTGAGTATTAACCCAAGAAGTGGCTCGCTCTTGTGCTTCTCTGTTTCACATTGTACTTCAGATCATTACGACAGGAGGTCCTGCTATGTAGTGTACAGTGTGTCATTTTTAAAAACTGTTTATGTATTTGGTTTAGCACTTATTTGTGATTGATGAGCTAAAATCGATGATCTGACCTACTTTACACAAGTTTGGTGTGTGTTCAATTTTTTTTTAATGTTTTTGAAAGCAGTCTCTTTTGCTCACCAAGGCTGCATTTATTTGATTAAAAATACAGTACCAACAGGAATATTGTGAAATATTATTACAATTTAAATGAACTTTTTTCTATGTGAATATATTGTAAAATGTAATTTATTCCTGTGATGCAAAGCTGAATTTTCAGCATCATTCCTCCAGTCTTCAGTGTCACATGATCTTCAGAAATCATTCTAATATGCTGATTTGCTGCTCAAGAAACATTTCTGATTATTATCAATGTTGAAAACAGTTGTGCTGCTTCATATTTTTGTGGAAACTGTGATACTTTTTTTCAGGATTCTTTGGCATAACATGCACTAGTGAATTGTGCACAATAAGACCAGAAACATGTTTTAAGAAAGTAAACAGCATCAATTTATGTTTTGTTTCTCCTCATCAGGTTGTTTGCAGCCAAATGCAGTGGCTGTCTGGAGAAGATCGCTCCCACTGAGTTTGTGATGCGCGCACTAGAAAGTGTGTATCATCTAGGCTGCTTCTGCTGCTGTGTGTGCGAGCGACAGCTGTGTAAAGGAGACGAGTTCGTCCTGAAGGAAGGACAACTGCTGTGCAAGAACGACTACGAGAAGGAGAAGGACTTACTGCACGCGGTCAGCCCGGACATGTCTGACTCCGGTGAGAACAACGCTTTCCTTTCCTCTCGTCTCGTATGCTCTCCATGGAAAGGTGATATTAAAAAGCTTGTTTCTGTAGACAAAAGTGAGGATGAAGATCTGGACTTGAAGCCGGAGAAAGGAGCAGGAGGTCAGAGCAAAGGAGCCGATGACGGCAAAGACCCACGCAGACCCAAGAGACCTCGCACCATCCTCACCACCCTGCAGCGGCGCGCGTTCAAGGCCTCCTTTGAGGTGTCATCCAAACCATGCCGAAAGGTGAGAGCATCCTTCAGAAGATTTCTAGAGGGAATACAACCAAATGAACCCATTTCAGTTTTTGAATGTGCAACCTGTGCTTACTGTAGAGGCACAGGTTCCAGTATTATACTAATCCATTATTATACAGCAGTCTATGGACTATCTGATGCGCATTGCATGTAAAAATGGCAAAAAAAATAATGGACCATCTGATGCATATTGCATCTAAAATTGGCAAAAACTATGAACAATCTGATGCATATTGCATGCAGTATAAAAATTGCACAAACTACATGGATCATCTAATGCTTATTGCATGTAAAAATGGCAACAACTATGGATCTTCTGAGGTGTATTGCATGTAAAAATAACAACTATATGGAGCATCTAATGCATACTGCATCTAAAATTGGCAAAAACCTATGGACCACATTATGCATTTAGCATGGAAATATGGCTAAAACTATGGATCTTCTGATGCATATTGGATGTAAAATTGGCAAAAACTGTGAACCATCTGATGTGTATTGCATGTAAAAATTGCAAAAACTC